CATCACAGTGGAGTCAGCTGTCTTAACCGTGGCTTGTGTACAGCACACACATACCAGCTTCATCACCGTGTCTGTCTCTGTTCCCCTTTCGGGCTCTGTCTTTACATTTATTTTGAAAGATGAAGCTTGCGATTACGGTAAGGGGCGTTACATTTCCAACGAGTGCTTGCGGTGTTCGGCCAATCACAATGCACTGGGTCAGCTGGCCAATCAGAGCAGACTGTGCTTGTCGGAAGGAGGGACTTTTTAGAAAACGAAGTGTTTGAGAGAGGCGGGGCATAGAGGACTTAAAATAATGTACAGTATTTGAAAAATAATGTGTTTTTTGAACATTAAAGCATGTCAACATATTCTGTTACACCAAATAATGATCTTTAAAAAAGCATCATATGACCCCTTTAACGCTTTTTTATTCTAATGCTTGCATCATAATCTTCAACCACTTCCTATTAACTAGGCATTGAGCTGTCACTATTTCCCAAGCGCTGCTGAAGATGTTTTTCACATAATACTCAGCAGAATGTTTATCTGTCTCTATGAGTGTTTATTGCCTGTCTATTCAAATTCTGTTTAAATTTGACAGCCTACTTTTAGAAACTTCCACGAAGCGAAAAGTAGTTCAATAATGTTTATTTTAACTATGTACTGTTTTAGAGTTTGGGTTATCTAGACTGAATTAAAATAAATATTTGCTCAAAATGCACAAAAAAACTAAAGTTTTGAAAACAAAATATGTTCATTATAAGTCAGCAAGGGTTTAAAATTGACACCAAGTGGAATAACAACTTCAGAATAACAAAGGTCAGAACCATTATCATCGGCTAACCTCAAAGATGATGAAACCGAAGTATAGATCATGACAGATCTTTTCTTCCAACCCGATCTCATTGGAAAATGTAACTTCTTTTTTTTTTAGGAGTGGCAATTTCGTATGAATTTGTGCAGTGTAAACAAATTCAGGTCGTCCAAAAATGCACAAATCCAAATCAGACGAAAATGTATAGGCCTAAATTAGATTTTTTTTGATAACGGAATTATCAAAAAATAAAAAAAACTTGGTTCCATCCATCAGTTGTTTATTGGATTTTAACATTAAAAACTTGAGGCAGATGAAAACAAGCTTGCAAGAGCAGGGATTGAATGATTGCATACGTCTGTCGTTTTCACTGGAAGATCCAGTTATGACATTTTTAATTGTTTTTTTTTTAATGAAACATATACATGGATGAATCATTCACCATAAGATCTATAATGTCGACTTTAAAATATAAAATCCATATTTTGAGAGATTAATTGGAAAAATATCATGATTTGAGGTTGACATTTATACAAGTAGTTGTTGGAGAGTGTATTTTAAGTGCTGTTACTGATTACATGTTCCTCCGGTTTCACAGGAAAGGCTTAAGCCTAGTCCCAGACTAAAATGCATGTCTGGGCAGGTTTAACTGAAAGAAACTTGCACTGACTGATCTTAAAATATATTGGATTCATTGTTTTGTCTCAAGATGCACACCAGTAATGTTTTTATCTAAGACATATTTCTAAAAACGACTTAAATGTCCTAATTGAACTATGGACTAATCCTGGCTTAAACTAAGCCCTGTCTGTGAAACCTGGCCTTAAAGTTTTTCACCTTTTTAATCAGCTTTTCTGCAGTTCAAGTCCTGTGGTGTGGCATGAAAGTGTAAATATTCCATGTAGCCTCTCAGTGAATATGAACTCATGAAATTTGAATAGATAACCAAGAATTAGAGAAAAAAAGTGTTTTGGAATATGACGAATGTCACACAGTTTCACACATGATATCACCCATCCAATAACTGTAGCTTCAAGACGATCTTCAGTCTGTGGGAAGTTCCTGTTTACTGTACGTGGCTCTATAGCATTATATGTGAGTGTGTTTTGAAAGAGCGAGAGGGAGGATATCAGTATTAGTGTGTACATGTACTTGAACTCTCTCACTGGCGTGTGTGTGGCGGTTTTCGGGGAAGTGAAGGCTCTCTTTAGGGGCAGCTGTGTTATTAGCGCTGTCTCTCTGAGCTGTGGGCGCTGATGGCTGAGTTCACTGCGTAATTTACAGCATTTCTGTTTTCTCTTTCCTTGCGCTTTCAGTACCCTCTTCAAGACTTTGCCGCTGAGAAGTCTCAAGGTAAGCCGAAAAGCATTTCTAACATAGACTATTATTATTGTTAAGACAATGTATAGATGTTTTAAACTCACCGAAAGAGTAAAATGATCAAGTACACAATGTACAAAGAGCAAAATTTGGATTTGTTAGCGGAATCATGACCCTGTTGATTGTGTCATGCAAACGTGCATGATGTTATCTTTGCTATTGATGCTATTGAGTAAAGGACCCAGTAAGAATGGCACTGCTGAGGGCTGCTGTCGCCTCATTTGCATGTGTTTGTTTGTGATAGGAGATGATGTGATGAGCCGCAGAAGGGTCTCGGTGAAAGACCTGGGCCAGGGCGACTGTCAGGGCTGGTTGTACAAAAGGAAGGAGAGCAAAGGGCTCTTGGGCTGGAGGTGGAAGAAGTTTTGGTTTGTGCTCAAGAAATGTTCGCTCTACTGGTACACATCGGACATGGTAAGTGACGTGGTTTTCCCCTGATAATGTGTGGCCTCGCTACGGAAAATGTGAACGTGTGTTTATGTCTTCACTTGTTATCTCATGTTGGAAATGAGTATCCAGAAGCCTGTTGCACAAACCTGGTTGAGCAAACTCTGAGTTTAGAGTGGAGAAAACCAAACGGCTTCAGTGGACTCACAGCACATGCTATAAATTTTCTCTGTCAACTGGGTCCTGTGGGTTTGATACAGAGTATGCAGTGAACAGCCAATCTCATGAGCACTTTCATTCGCATTTCACTTTTCTGCTGAAAATGAGGAAATGATGAAAAAACATGAGTTTAAACACATTTACAAGGCTATAGAACCATTGCTGCGGTCACAGAATTTTGAGAAAGAAAATGTCTTGCTGTCAATGCAAGCGAAACAACTTTAAAGTGAATAATTTATATAGATTATAAAGAGCTCAGCCAAAACATGTAAAATTAGTCCTTTTAAAAATGTTTATATAGTTTCAAGCATTTAGTTGTATTTATATTAAGTTAAAAGTTAATTAATATTATTAAATGATAATTAATGATAATTATTTTTAAAAAATATTTGTAATTGTTAAAAATATAATTTTATTATATTTGTTAATTAAGCATTAAGAATGCTTTAAGGATATAATGTAAATAAGGTAATATATTATTTTGTATAAAATACAAATAATAAGTAATTAGCAAAATCCAATTGTGCTGCTTTAATTTGGAGCAAGAAATTCAAGGGAGTGGCTTTGTGTCAGAGAAGTGTCACTTTGCTCACAGCTAATTAGTCCATTTTTGGTTTGCGATCTCATATCCTGAATAAAACCTGCTCCTAATCATGGCTACATTTCACAAAATCATAGCTATCTTAAAGGGAAAGTTCACCCCCCCAAAAAAATCCTGTTATCATTTACTTGCCCTCAAGTTGTTCCAAACCTGTATGAGTTTCTTTCTTCTGTGGAACAAGAAAGAAGATATTTTGAGGAATGTGGGAAACCAAACAGTTAATGTTAGCCATTGATTTCCACAGTATGGAAGAAAACAGAAACTGTTTGGTTACCAACCTCCAAAATATCTTCTTGTTCAGCAGAAGAAATAAACTTTTTGGGTGTCATGTGGTTTCTACAATGTACTCAGGCTTACAATGCTTTTGGGTAAGACAGCCCTGATTAGTTATGTACCGTAAATGTGTACCATGGCATTGAACACTGCTAAAATACAATCCACCTTCTTCAAAACCAAAAACTAGAGTTTGTTCAAACTAAACCAAAATTTAGATGAGTAGTCTTTTTCCAGAGACAAGTTCTCTCTGTTTCCTTTCAGGCAGAGAAAGCCGAAGGCTACATCAACCTGAGAGACTTCACCATAGAACAGGCTACCGAATGCAAGAAGAAGTTGTGAGTTCATCTTCCTTATTTACAGAGATTTTTGGCTGTTTGTGGGTAAAAACGACAGACATGCCTATTGCACCATGTGGCCTCATTATATCTATTTTTCTGAAAGTACTGCGTGCTGAATGTTACAGCAAGCATGGCTATAACTGTTGCTCACACTTGGTAACATACAGCAACCCTAGCAATCATATGCAACACCCACACTAATTCATAAAAACTCCACACAGAACATCCTACCAACCACCCAGAACACACTTGCAATGATCTCTCAATCCGTGTAGCAACGACTTAGCAGTGCCTCAGAAACCACCTAGAATTGTCCTAGATACCAGCAGCCATAGAAACGCACTAAAACACTTAAGAAAATTAAGAACTGCATGGCAACCAGCTAGACTGCTCTAGTAACAGCATAGAAACACCCTGGAAACTGCTCAGAACATCATATCTACCGCATAGCAACCCCCAAGAAACCACCTGCAACACCCAGTCAACTTCATACGAGCTCCTTGGCATCCACACAGAACATCATTACAACTGTATGGCAACCAGCCTTAACACCCTATAGCACTGAAACCATGAAACCACTGCATAGCAACACCATAACTGCAAACCTAGCAGTGCCTTAGTATCCATTGTCATTGTCATAGAAACCACCCAGAGCACACTAGCAGCCATAGTAAAACAAATCAGTAAAAGCACTCCGAGCACCTCAGGAACTGCATTGCAACCACCCAAAACATTCTAGTAACAGCATAGAGACTCCCTGGCAACTCTGTAGAGTATCCTATATAGAGAGAGTGGTTAAGGATATTCTGCCCAAGCCGTCAAACTGACATCATCAGAGAAGGAATGCCATTCCAGAGTGGAAGTATATATTTCAGATTTGGATTACAACGACAAACTTGTTTTTTTTTCTTTACTTGCACAGTAACATCTCTGTTACGTATGTAACCTTGAATCCCTGAATAGGGAACGAGATGCTGTGATTACATCATCGCTACGGGAACACCTCCGGTGTGACGAATGTCTGAAGCCCTTATACCATCACGCCAATTCATTGGCCAAATAGCGATTAGCACCGCCCCCTGCGCGTAAGCTATATCAGCATGCTGCACGCTATTTCATCAGATCTCCACTTGACAAAGGAAGCGCCATCAAAGGTAAGAAACCAGGGGGTGACGACCAACTGAAACACCTCCCACGGGTGCATGCCCCGCAGATATGGCTGCCACATACACCTTAAGAGTGGCGGGGGTCACTCCCTCAGAAAAACGACTCTGAAAAAACTCAAGCACTGAACCAATGGGGCAATAGACTGGATCCAGAATGCGTTGTCTACACCAAGAGGCAAAAAGTCTCCACTTGAAAGCATACAAGCGTCTTGTGGAGGGAGCCCTAGAATTAATAATAGTGTCGGTAATCTCAGCCGAGAGACCGGAACACATTAGCGCACTCCGCTCAGGGGCCACACCCATAACCTCCATAATTCCGGTCGAGGATGCCAAATCATGCTTGTGTCAACGGATCGTGTCTGAGGGGTACCTCCCAAGGAGGGCCGGCTAGCAGACTGACTAAGTCCGAGAACCACGACTGGGTGGGCCACCAGCAGCAAGTGTTCCACTCTGTCTGATCGTACTCTGAACAGAATTACTGGGATGGTTGATTACTTAGATCGATGGTTACAAAGCAATCTTCGGATTGGATCTGAGACCGAATGGACTTTACTGTTAGCATCTTGAACTTGCTCACTCGGAGCACAAGATTTAAATGACGCAAGTCCGAAATCAGACGTAAACCACCATCTTTTTTGGGCACTACAAAATACCGGCTGTAAAAGCCTGACTCCATTTGAGTGGGGTATATCTCCTCTATAGCCCCTTTCTCTAGGAGTGACACGATCGCCTGACTCAAAATCGAGGCCTCCCCAGGACGTATCGTCGTAGGAAGAACCCTGCTGAAAGGAGGTGGCCCTTTCCGAAATTGGATGGTGTAACAGTGTCGAATGGTGCATAAGTACCCATTGTGAGACGTCGGGCAGGCGTCTCCACGCGGCCCAATAGCCTGCTAGGGGCTTTAGTCGCTCTACGTTTGGCAACAGTTGAAGTACAGGTGCCGAGACATCTCCTGATTGCGGAGAGCTGCTGGCGTGGGGCTATCGCACTTGATGAAATCTTCATCTGATTTTCCTGCATAGGGCCCCGAAGCACCTGAGTGGCGGGAAACTCTATAACAGGAAGACCTCCAAATGCCCTGTCTGGCTGGCCCACCACCCCAAGAGTGGGGGCTTTGAAGGCCGTCATAAATGAGCCATGCTCGCATGACTCTTGGGCTTTCTCTCGAACTCTGAAGGCTGGAAAGCGCAGAGTATCTGAGGAAGTGCTCGTCGTAGGGACTTGACCTAAAACTGCCCGAGGGCGCAGTATGCGGTGGGACCGTTAAGATCTGAGCCGGGAGGCCACAATGAGAGAGGTGAATACGCTTGCGCGGTTCGTCCAAACTCTCTAAAAGAGGGCCTGGCCTCTGAAGACAAGCAAAGAAATCAGGAACTGCTATTAGGAGCCTGAGAACGAGAGGCCTTGGCCGTTGAACTCAGGTCTATCTGCTTGCGTTGCCGTGGGTGAGCAGGTGGGCGAGACCTAGGACCCCAGTCCTTATGAGGGGGTAACATAGGTGATGGCTCACACCGCTGGACCTCGCGAGGGCACTGCAAAGAGGATGAGCGTGAACGAGCCGTAGGTGGTTGACACTCCACTTCCCTAGCCCTGCGCGGGATGAGCTGACGAAACGTGGCAGACTGCGGTTTCGCTGCCCGGAATTTTTCCACGACAGTCGTGACCGAATTCCCGAACAAACCGTCATTAGAAATGGGGGTGTCCAAAAGAACGGTTCTGTCCTTTTCCTTAATATCAGTGAGAGTGAGCCAAAGGTGGCGCTCAACTGACACCAAACCTGCCATGGACCTGCCCACTGCTTGAGCCGTGTGCTTGGTAGCCCTAAGCGCCAAGTCCGTAGCTCGCCTGGGCTCTTTAACAGCCTCCAGGGTCAGGCCTTCCCCCTCATCCAGCTCCTTAAGCACATCTGCTTGATAAGCCTGGAGTACACCCATAGAATGAAGCACAGCGGCTATGTAAGATTTCCCGACCAAAGCGGACATAATCCTACACAGCTTGGACGGCAACAGGGGGCGTGACTTCCAAGACGGAGCCGAGTTCGGCGCGAGATGTGCCGCGAGAGTCTCTTCTACAGCCGGCATCGCCGTGTAGCCGTGTTCCGCCATTTTGGAAACCTTGGCGAAATCAGCGGCAGCGGGATTGGTAATACACGCCGAAAAAGGTTGTTTCCAAGACCTCAAAACCTCATGGTGGAGGTCTTGGAAGAAAGGGAGAGGCCTACGGGGCTGAGACAGAGTGCGGCTAGACAAAAATCGGTCGTCCAGTTTCGACTGGGCCTGATTTTGCGCCGGCTCGCTATCCCACTCTAACCCCAGCTTGTCCACAGCGCGCGTCACAACATCTAACAGTTCACTGTAAGATGGGGAGGTGCGTTTCTCCTGTCCGCTCGGAGGGAGAGAACTGCACGTTTCAGCCAATAAATCCTCCGAATCGGAGGCCGCTGTGGACAGCACGTCTTCGCCATACGGTTCACAATCGAAAGACATCGCATCACGAGCTTCCGTGGTAGGCCGCAAATCATCGTTGACAAAGACAACGGGCTCTGCGCAGCGCTCTTTGAGCACTTGCACGTGGACTGGAGAGAGCGAGAGGAAGGGAGAAAACTCCATCGTCTCACTCTCCATGAGCCCCGGCTCGCATGCGTTACCCCAAGCGACCGTCTCGTGTGGCGCCTCGGCAAACGCAGAAACGGGATGGCGGGGGTTAAACGTAAGGCCTACTTTCTTAGAGAAGACCGCGAGCCTCGAGCGCAATACTTTTAGCCGCAGGGTATCACAATGTCGACAGTCAGAAAGGCCACTAAGTGCCGCTTGAGCGTGTTGTAGGCCCAAACATTGCACGCACCTGTTATGAGTGTCTCCTCCTGCGATAAACCTGTCACACGGCTCGACGCATCTCCTGTTGCTCATCGTGTCTGCTGAAGAGGAGTAAACTGCTCTTTGAAGGAAAAATAGCTGAAAACACGACGAAAAAAACGCTTTCCTACGGGCGACAGATGATTCGCTTCCTGAAGGAAATGAAATCTGATGAAATAGCGCGCAGCACGCTGATATAGCTTACGCGTAGGGGGCGGTGCTAAGTGCTATTTGGCCAATGAATTGGCGTGACGGTATAAGGGCTTCAGACATTCGTCACACCGACATCGTTGCCGTAGCGATGATGTCATCGCAGCATTGAAGTGAACCTATGAGAGGGAACACCAACAACACCATAATAGCTACACAGCAATACACTTAAAGGTGCAGTATGTAATATCGACAGCTACCAGTTGAAATGGATACTGCAGTCCAAATTCAAAATATTGGAGAGAGTTGTTTCTCCCACCACCTCCTCCTCAAACTCGACACACACACATGGGTTGCCAGATTAAGGACACGCAACAGGAATGAGCGCAGTTGACGGTGGAAGGCGACGAGCCTTACACTGTAAGTTAATAAGTCAATTTATCCTCCTTTTAATATGCCTGTGCTCATAGAGCTTTTTAGATGGATGCCAAGGCTTTTTTTCGGTGGATAGAATGTTTTTTTTAGGTTACGATCTCTGACCAAGTTCGTTTACTTGCTTCCATTGCTGCAATGCGCTTTGTTTTCCACCTACTGGCAACCCAGGGTGTCGAAGTACTATTGTACAGTACTATTGGGTAAATTGGAAGTTGGTGGAATCACACAGACCATAACAAAAACAGACTTTCTGCCACAGATTGTATATTTTCAAAAGTAGAATAACTACATTGACTTTCATAGAAATAAGTATGTGAACTTAGCATGTTTCCTAAATATCTGCAAACATATTATTGCATTTTAATGCTTTAGTAAGGTCATAAAATTACATACTGCACCTTTAACACACCAGGCAACAGATAAAAATATGCATATGCAATATGCAGTACTCATATCTTTTCTGCAGTGAATGTAAATGGTTATGAGGTTGTTATTTGACTGATTTGACTGGCTGTTATTTTGAACAAATAGTGTGAATTGTCAGGCTGTAAATCAGAATAGTTTTTTTCTTTTTTCACACTAGAAGTGTGTCATCTATACCCCTCTTAATGCACGCTCAGAACACAGGAAACTGTCTGCTCTAAGTGTGTGGTCTGAGCTACTGTGTTTTTCACAGACTTCCTTCATAAAGACATACAGTAGCTCTGTTTTACTTTGATAGCTATGATTGGATGTAGATAAGACAGGAGACAAACTTTGGTGTCGAATACGTTTTCGGTTTTGTGTAATGCTTCCACTACGTCATGCAACCACACATCCACAAAGATACTGTCTCTGAGAACTGCTGGGAGTTGTGAATTATTTAATTTGCATTCACTTCATTCTTATTTTCCAGTGCAATGAAAGCATGCCACCTCCACATGCTGACACTCTACTTTGCAGCTGAGAACATGAAAGACATGAACAAGTGAGTGTGAAAAGACACAAAAAGAATTTGTGTTTGTAAATGTGGTCAGAGATAAAGTGCTTGCTGATCTACACTTATGAAAAAAAACCCTACCTTTTTTAGTCATGTAGCACTTACTCATACATGTGAAGTGTGTGGGTCTGGTATTTGGCCCAACGTGACATGTTTGCATTGCAGTGTGGCAGGCTGCTTTGACACCTCACTGTGACCAAAGCTGTCTGCAGCACACCACGCAATTGAGCATGTTTGATGAAAACACAGGGTTTTGCAGACATCCAGTACTAAAAATAGTTACTACTAGTTAGTAATAGGAGTTTGGACTTTCGCTGGTAGAATGTGAATAAAATTTTAAGTTGAATTTCTTATTATAATGTGTAAATAAGTGTAAACAAGTCTGTATACAGTACATTATCTAATCTCATGAACACTTCAATTGTAAATTAGCCTCAAAAATGTGTATATAAAGTGTAACAGAGTTGTCTGTGGTGTGAGCGAACTACTCCTTTATAGTGAATGGCTTAAATTTCAGTTGGACTCTTCCTAGCAAAGCTTTTGAATGGCTTCAGAATACCTGAGTTTACCACATAATTTGTATGGACTAGTTTCTACAACACTATAATGGTGCGTGACAGATGTGTTTACTACTTTTTAAATGTTTTTGTATGGAAAAGAGCAGCCTGAGATTGTTCAAAATATCTCCTTTTTGTTCCATGGAACAACACAAGTGTGAGTAAAAGATGAAAAGATGACATTTCTTTTTTTGTAAACCATTCCTGTAAAGGTTTATTGAAACATACTGAAATAAACCTGTGAGTGGAAAAAAACATTGAGAGAAAGCTGTGGGTGTGCTGCTATTAAACTGTGGGCAGAGACATACACACATGATGATCCATTACAATTATTCCACAGATCTGATGAGGGTAGATTTACCGTAATTAATGTTCTTTTTAATCTAGATGGCTGGCTAAACTTACCCAGGCTTCAAATGAACCTGCGCCCACAGACTCAACCGATGGAGGTAAAGATTCACACCACACATGCATACAGAAACCCGGTTAATACAGAGTGTCTATTTCAGTCCACTTCACGTCTCATCAAAGCCAAACCTGACACTTTAATAGCTGCATTAATCTGGTATTGAGACTGTGATTGTGTGACTATAGAGTGCTACAGTGAGGAGAGTGACGATGAGGATGAAGCAGACACCGCTGAGATGTGTGCAGAGGTCATGGATCAGCTGACCCCCGGCTCTCTGCATGTGAGTAACCGACATGCTCATTTAAACAGACCCATAACTATAAGTTAAGTCAGCATTTAACTCTTCTATTCATTGTGGTTTATATGTGCTATTAATACCTGGTGAATAAGAAAATGGGTCACACAGTGGTTTGAAAAAAAAAATACATTGGCCAGATATATGTCTTTATTTGATTCGTCTTTTTTTTTTTTTTGGAAAGAAATTAATACTTTTATTTAGCAAAGATGCATTAAATTGATCCAAAATTACAGTAGATCTCCATTTTTTAAATAAATGTTAATTACTATTCATCAAAGAATCTTGAAACAAAAAAAGATCATAGTTTCCACAAAAATATTAAGTAGAACCAATGCTTTCAACAGAAATGTTTCTTGAGCAGCAAATCATATAGAATGATTTCTGAAGGATCATGTGACACTGAAGCCTGGAGTAATGATGTTGACAATTCCGATTTAGCAGGAATAAATATATTAAAATATATTATATAATAGTTAGTGCTGTCAAACGATTAATCGCATCCAAAATAAAGGTTTTTGTTTACATAATATATGTGTGTATACTGTGTATATTTATTATGTATATATAAATACAAACACATGCATGTATATATTTAAGAAAAATGTTATGTTTATATATTAAATGTTTTTATATATAATATAAAATATAAGAATATAAATATATAAATGTAATTTTTAACTTTTATTTTGAATGCGATTATCGCGATTAATCATTTGACAGCACTAATAAAATAGAAATTTTTATGTATATTAAAATGGGATTTTTTATTTAAATATTTCACAATATTACATTTTTAGCTGTATTTTTGATCAAATAAATACAGTCTTGGTGAGCATTAGAAATTTCTTTCAAAACAAGTTTCTTTCACACAAGTTCCTTTTTAAAAACGGAATTTCTTTGAGATTTTGAAGGATTGATGTTATATTTGTGTGTGGATGTTTCAGGGTTGTCTCCCGCCTCCCCGCACCTCTTCCTCTCCATGTCAGGACTCGTTCCGCACAGAGACTCAAAGTGCAGACAGTGAGTCGTGGCAGGAGATCAGCTCAGAGGAAGACCCCATCCGCAAAATACAGGAGTTCAAAGGGAATGACTGTGAGTGAGCGCTGGAATGAGATCTTTTAACCTTATGAGAGTGTTGCATGGGAAATGTCTGAAATAAAAAAAAAACATGTTAAAGGGATAGTTCACCCAAAATGAAACCTGTCATCAGTTATTCATCCTCATTTCGTTCCAAAGCCATAAGATTTTCATTCATCTTCAAAACACTAATGAAGATATTTTTAACGAAACCTGAGAGATTTCTGTCCCTTCACCCAAAGCTTCAAAATGTTCATGTATAGATGCTGATTCTAAAAATGTTTCCATTGGAAAAGTCATGGAAACTCATTGCTCATAAAGTGTGCTAATCCTGTAAATTGGTTCGTAACCAAATACTCTTGTAATATTCTTTCATCAGGCCCCCCGTCTGATGAGATGGAGATGCTGTATCTTCACCTCAAGCAGGTGAGGCTGTCCCCCACAGGAGCCCTGCAGCCAACTACCAAACGTGACTTCAGGTCCTCCTTCATCAGACGCTGCAAGAATGAGAGCATTAATGAGAAACTGCACCTGATTCGAGCTTTAAACAGCACTTTAAAGGTGAGTTTGACATTGGTGTGGTCATTCAAAGGTTAGAAGTGTCCTGTTTGAGTGTTTGTCCAGAAAGAGTTGATCTAAATAGGGAACCAGTAAACTGCTAAAATTGTCAAGAAACAGCCAGAAACCGGTGTACCATTTATCTTTATTAAACTAGAATTTATTTCATCATGTTGTGTTGCTTCATAAGTATATATTCAGGGTTTCTGCGGGTCTTAAAAGTCTTAGTTCGCCCTTCCATAAATGATGGCCTTAAAATGTCTTAAATTCAAGTCATGGCATTAAATGTTGCATGCACTGTTAAAAATTAATATATTCCTCAGTATTGTCTTGTTTTCTAATACAAATATCTTAACATCTTAAATCAAGATACGTTTACTTAAGGTGCAAAATGAAGAGATGAAGTCTTGTTTCCTGGGAAATTGAACACAATTAAGTGAGTTTTTGCCCAAAACATGAATAAATCGTGATGAAAACTTTTCCTTTTTAATGAAGTTGATTTTCTGAGCCCAAACATTGGCAGGCATTTTTCCTTGTTTTAATCAAAAACTCACTTCATTTTGCTTCTCAAGTAAATGTGTCTTGATTTAGGAATCTTCAGACATTTGCACTGGAAAACAAAACAAAACAAATCTGAGGAAGAACATCATTTTTTTGCAGTGTGATCAGAAGTTACAGTAAGTTATTGCCATATTCTAGTGGTTGGGACCCTGATATTGCAATGCATTATGTTGAGAAATAGCAGAAAACATTTTGCAAATGCACTATAAACCTGAAATCTAAAGTTTAATACTGCAGTAAAGCCGTGATCAATTTTATGATCATGATGTAGTTGGATAGCATGTAATACATGTTGGTGCATTGTGAAGTTGTGTCCTCTTCTCGTTAGTGCAGTCTTGTCTAACTGTTTAAGTCTATTTCACTTCCTCTATAGTGCTTTAAAGTAGAATATTATCTGTGGTCTGTGCTGTGAAATCAAGGGAAGCTACACTGACTCACTCTGCTTTGCATTATGTACAGTCGGAGGCAGGTGGTATTTATAATTGAGAGGGGAGGGGGATGTTTGCATCCTAGGAAGCGTTTGATTGGACAGAATCTCTCCAGTGCATTGTGACTCATCAGACTATATAATATATAAAGAAACTTGGGGGCGAGTCAATTATTTCTGCCCATAGACCTTAAGTTGTGTTCTCTTCCAGTTGCAATACTTTACAAAACCACAAAACTGTGTCAACATGAGACTAGTCTGATAAATGCTTACTAACCTAGTCGGTGTCATTTTTATCTATAAATAACACTTTAGTTACACTTACAGCTTTCAGCTTTGTTGTCATGTTGACATAAGTTCTGCACAAGGATACTGAGATAAGAGTTGAGGTAACGTGATTGTTGTTTATATGGAGCTGAACATGTAGTTTTCAAGGCTGTTGTCTTGAATCAGCTAAGGAACATAAACTTGTCTCCTTACTGCTGCCTTCATATGTTCATACGGTAGTTAAAACCAGCTAGAAACAGTGTAACCAGAACAGGTGTTTGACATCACGTCTCTGTTGACATGCATAAGTATTTTATATCAAGTTAAAATAATTTTATATCCAGAGATGGATTCATATACTTCTAGACAATCTAGAACAGCTGGTATTGAAGAAATTGGATTTTCAATAAATAATAATATGGCAATCTTGTGACAATTTCCCCCCTCATCAACTATTCCTTGTATATGATGGTTGCACCTTATGCTCTCAGCCAATGGTTCAATGCTTAGAGCGAATGGCATCTCCCTGTCTTGTTCCCCTCCCAAGATCAAAGAACTCTGAACAGTGTCCGTTCACCCTAACTCTTGATTTAGGATTAGGGATGTAACGGTATGAAAATTTCTTATCATGATTATAGTGACCAAAATGATCATGGTTATCAGTATTATCACGGTATTGTTAAAATGTGCTGGAGATGTTCAAAAAGTACCGACACATAAATCACTTCACCAAGTTTTATATTTAAAAATCAACAAACAACAAATAAAATGACATTTTGTTTGCATAATCACTAAAACAATAACATTACCAATATAATTCTAGATAACTTATCTGAATTGTTTAAATGTGTAGAATCCACATAAGCTTGTTTTTCATCAACCGGTCAAAATTTACAGCAGGACATGCAAATTCGGTCCGTTTTTGGCCAGACAGAAACTGCAGGCAAGCTGAATGTAAATATGAGTCTCTGTAAATCCACTCGCTGACAGCAGGTGGCGCTTATGGAAAAGCTGTTTCCCGTAAACTCCATGGACAAAGCAGTATTGCAATTAAGAACACCACAGTATTTATTTATCGTGAGGTGTTCAAATCGCGGTAATCTAATATGGTTTTAATGATAATCAAAATATGAAACGGTAACACTAACCGTCGGGAATTTTATCATGATTTATCGTCAAACCGGTAATCGTTACATCCCTATTTAGGATTAGGATCAAATATTTGTATCCATCTTATAAATGTGTCATGAAACCCCATGTATGCCAGCATTTGTTTTAAATATGTCCAATCCAATCTATCAAACGCCTTTTCCCCATCTAAACTTAGTAACATTGAGGGAACCTTTCTTTTTCCTGCAATGATCTGTATGTTTAGAGCTCTCCTAATATTGTCAGTATGAATCCTGTCTGGTCTGGCTTCACTAACTTTCTAATATGTGTTTGAATCCTCTCTGCTAAAATTGAAGTTAAAATGTTTAGGTCCTGGCAGAGAAGGCTTATGGGCCTATAACCTGTACACTGAGTGGGGTCTTTGCCGGCTTTATGGATAACTGTTATTACTGCCTCAGCCCATGACTTTGGAGGATTTCCCTTCTCTGATGCGTAATTATACATTCGACACAGAATTGGGGTTAATTCATTTATGAAAGCTTTATAAAATTCTCCAGGGAAGCCATCTACTCCCGGCGACTTACTATTTTTGAGTTTGCCAATACTTTTCTTAATTTTTTCCTCTGTAATGGGACTGACCATTACTTCAGACTCCTCATCTGTTAGTCTATTCAGTTTAACAGAATCCAGAATTTTTTTATTTATTTTTTTCATCCTTATTTGACTCTTCATCCCCTTCATATCGTTTTTTTGTACTGATCTTTAAATGCATCTGCAATTTGTTTAGGTTGTGGTGTTATAATGCCTGTACATGGATGTCTGATTTTCAGGGACAACTCTACTAGACTGGACTTTACATAGTTGAAAAGCAAGCAGCCGGCTTGCTCTATTACCAAATTCATAATATTTTCTGCTTGTATATCTTAGAGCACCCTCATCTAGTCATCTAATTTCTGTCTATTATGTTTTAATAGATCTAGAGAGTTTTTATTTCCATTTTTTTTTTGTGTTCGTATTCTAACCTTTTTATTTCTTTCTCCATTTCCAATTGTTTAAGTTCCCTTTGCTTTTTTATTCTGGATGTAAGTGCAGTAATCTTTCCCCTTATTACCCACAACACCGAAGGAGAGACCGATCCATTATCATTTATTTTACTGTTTAACTGTTTATGTCGCCCCAAATTTAGTTTAAAAATATAACAGGGCTATGATCTGACAGAGTACAATCTTAAAAATAAAGGTGCTTCAAAAGGTTCTTCACAGCGATGCCATAGAAGAACAATTTTTGGTTCCACAAAGAACCATTCAGCCAAAGGTCCATCTCTTTCTTACCTTTTTACAATCTGGAGAACCTTCTTTCACCACAGAGAACCTTTTGTGAAACGTAAAGGTTCTTTATGGAACAATTATGGACAAAAAGGTTCTTCTATGGCATCGTGAAGCACCTTTATTTTTAAGAGTGTAATGGGCTCTATATTGCACTCCACTACTCTATGCAATTCTGTTTTTGAAATGCAGAAAAAAAAATCCAGTCTAGAATAGCTTCCATGTGTTTGTGACATTTTCTTTTGGGTGGAGATATCTCCAAATGTCAATCAACCCCAGCTCATTCATCATCCCTAAAACTGTATTTGTTTTACGTGATTGGGGTCTTTTTTTCTATTGGCAACCTGTCCATGTACAGGTTTAAGACACAATTGAAGTCTCCAACTATCACTAAAATTCCCCCTGCTTTTCCTGCCACAATTGAGGAGATTTTCTTTAAAAAATATGGGCAATCTTAATTTGGTGCATATAGGTTTAAAAACGTTATTCTAATACCCCCAACTGTCCCCACAACCATGACACATCTGACATTTTTATCCTCAATCAATTTTTCATCTGTGAAATGGACAGCCTTACTAATAAGAATGGCAACCCCCCTTTTCTCCCCCCACCATATGATACGCTAAAAACCTGATCCACCCATTCTCTTTTCAACTTTAGATGTTCTTTGTCTGAGAGATGAGTCTCCTGTAACATGGCAGCACCACACTTTAATGTCTTAAGCTGATTCAGTATTTTTGTCCTCTTCACAGGGCTACCTATTGCATTTACATTGTAACTAACACAGGCTAAACTTTCCATGGTTATTAATAAAAGGAAATGCCTTCATATATTGCCACTTTGGGCTGGTCACAAACCAAAAAGTGAGTCTATTTAAGTATACACTTAAAGCATTAACGCGTTATCATCACAAACGGATCATGTGACACTGAAGACTAATAATGATGCTGAACATTCAGCTTTGCTTCACAGGAATAAATTACATTTTTAAATATATTTGAATAGAAAAGTTATTTCAGATTGTAATAATTGTTCACAATATTACAGTATCTTTTGATCAAACAATTGCAGCCTTGGTGACAATAAGAGACTTCATTAAAAATCATGTTTCCAAACTTTTGACTGTTGATTACCTAGAATTCCTGTTCGTTATTTGAAGTCTATAGACACTAGATGGCAGTATTGATGAGACAAAAACATAGCAGCTTTACTTTAACATTTGGAAGCTGTATTCATAGTTTCAGAAGAATCCATCATATCATTCTGTGTCTGTCTTATTTCAGGCGAAGGAGGCCGATCTGCGGGCCATAGAGCAGGTCTTGAGTGAACCGTCTCTGAGCGCTTGTAAATACAGACAGTGGCGAGATGCTAATGTGCTCCTGCTGCAGGAGATCGGAGAGAAACACAAGAGTGCCGTGGAGCCACAAGCCCAGGAACCTCAGCCCCAGCGCCAGTCACTCTTCAGCCCGAACACTGCGCTCCCTGCCGTCCCGGTGTACACAGAGACCAGCCTGTGAAGACGAGACGATGATCAACGAGAAAAAAACAAACCGAAACAGATGTGTGCTGTGTGAAGACGACCACAGGGCCTGTACGACGCCGACAGGAACACAAACAGAGCGGGAAACATCAAGGGCTGGCTTCCTGGACACAAATGAAGCTTCTCTGAAACACTTCAAACAGTACTAGCCTGCAAAAGCACATCATGGAGCTGAGAGAAATGACCTCAATGTTGACTCGTTTGATATCAGTTTTCTCTGAATTTGAGCACAGAAGAGCCTAACTTGTGTGTCACAGGACAAGAAACCCAAGTTCAGTCATAACTCATTTCCGAGACCTGTAGTTCAGAATAATTGTAACACATGTATAAATACTAACGGATGTATTTCTTGTCAGTTTTGTTCACATCATTCAGTGTTTGGATAAAGAAGGTTGCAAACATGTGTTTGTAGCCGTTCTGTAATGCGTAACTAGTTAAACTGTTGTTTTGTAGGGAATTTGCTTTTATGAATCACTCATGGATTTATAACAACATTGGGATAAGATGTGTTGTAACTTTTTAATGCAGTCTATACATGATTTTCACCAAATTCTGACAGCACACTCTTGCATCTCGTTCAGCCCTTGTGCCTGTTACCAAACCACTCCATTTCACACGTACTAGACACACAAATTCTATTCTTAAACTTGCTTGTATTTGATCGTTTTAGGAGTGGAGACTTGCTTTACCTGTTTTTAACACGACGGTCCCTTTTAGATGTACATATTTTAGCATTTTACAACTGGAAATTAATGTCTTGGGGTGTTGTACATTTTTGTATAAATGTCTGATTTAACTGTATAAATGTTTACTTGATATTTTTTAAGTAATTCATGCTGAAGGTGTGCCAAAGGAAATAAAAAATGGCTGTTTAATATTTTCTTTCAAGGTTGTGTTGCCTATTTGTGTGTATTTGAGAAACTGGAGTGCTCAGCATGTTTAGACCCCATTTAACCACTTATAAACCGCTTATGCTGGCAGTTACTTTGCTATGACACCTGTGTGAACTTGACTTCATACGAAAATCACTTTGACACCAGTTGCATAGAGGTCGATGTTAGTTCTGAGAAAGCATCATTTATGTGAAAATGTATCGGTTGTCAGTTTCTAAATCCAATTTAACTAATTTTTGTTTTAGAAACTTCAGCTTATATTGTATTACATAGAATGCACTTTGTGTTCGGTTTTAAAGTAATTATTTAAAAAAAAAAAAAGAAAGTATGTGATTTTGGATGTAGTCCCACTAGACTAAAAGCCACTAAAAAGCCACGATTTGCTTGTTTTCTTACTGGTGGAAATTTATTTTCTTTTGGATGCATAGTAAAGTGGTACGCCAGTATTGTGACATGCTAAATTGTGTCTTCATAGCACACACCCCTTTTGTTATCTCGCCAGTCAAATGTTGCAATCATATAGAAATGTTAGCATTTAGCAAATAAATTCTTTATTTTCTTAACTTGAAGGTTTGTACATTTACAAACTGCTATATAGAAAAGAATCTTTTGACCCCACATTCATCACCATTTTTATTTAAGTGGAAAAGTCTGTCACAAACTCCTCCTCTTGTGTTGCACAAGGGCTTGTGGGTAATCATAGCCCGAACTGAGTACAACAGAGCCTGGCCACTTTTTCAGCAGCCTTGGTTCCACAAGTATTTTTCCCAAAGGGATTTTTCAAGAAGTCTTTGTTAAAAAGCTAAAAGCCATGAACCAGATCAACCAGCTTTGCGGTGAATCAGAACATTTCCACAACTTTGATTTGATGTGTTTGAAAATAGAACAAAAAACGAGACTTACAAGACGCAGATAAACATCACATTTTCATTTTGGGGTGAACTATCCCTTTAACAGCTTTAATGAGGGAAAGAGCTGCAATCCCATGATGCATTGTGAATGACATGAAAAACACAAAACTGCAGTATTGATTCAAGAATGTTGATTATGAAAAGAAACACTATGTTTTACATTTATTGCAAAATATGCATATTATGCATACAAATATTTAAGTAGTTTTTAGAGTTTAGGGACACTGACTATCAGGTCATTTGTAGTGCTTCATGCGCGTATGCAGGCGATTCTCAGTCAATTCTCTGATTGGTGGAAATTTCTTTGTAGAATCATAGGTAATGTAGTTTTTCACCAGTTGAAATAATGTGGGCTGATGGCTTTACCAAAAGCATATACCATCGATTAACCACCTCTGTATATTTTTAATGGTTTGCTGTTCAAAATCATTTTCCCTATGGAGAAAATGAATGGGATTTTGTAACTTTTGCACTCTATAGTAAGAACAGATGTAGGCTACACTTCAAAAATCCACCAGAAAAAGTAAAAACAGCAGCTCTAGCATACTTTTTAAATTCACTATGATTTGGGGTGCACTAATACTATTACAAGCTATTTAGAATGGAGAGTATGTGAACTGGGGTGCAAACAGGCCAGTGTAAAGAGGCAGCCTGAAAACGGGTTATTGTTTCTCGTGAGGTGAAGAGAGGGTAAACTCATGTCTCCTGGGCTCAAAATAACAATGTTCCTGTCTATTTACGCGACAGACAGCGGTTTAACACACAGCAGAGGTCAGGCAGGAGGCAAGACACTCACTGTAAACAGAAGAAAGTGTCTGTGTTGGACGGAGAATGGAGTACTACAGCATTTTATGTGTCCTGTGAGGCCATATTTCTTCAGAGCGGTCATATGTGGCCTGCTCAATGAAACTTAATGATAGTGTGCTGTCCACAGGTTCATAATGGTGAACGTGAGTGTATTCTTCTGCAATAACCACCGCAGAACCTTCTTAATATGTAATAAACCATAAACATGGAATATTTATATGAAATTAAGTATTAAATTCATTGGTGAGTTCCATTTTTTAACACCTCATGAAACCATTCTGGATACCAATTTCAATAGAAAAGATCAATTAAAAAAAAAGCTACTGAACATATATTCTTTTAAGCTATTGAACTTATTAACTGTTTAATTACTTAATAATAATTTATAAAAAATAATTTATTTATATAAATAATTAAATAACTAATTATTTATAATTATTAACTACTTACATCTCCAGCAATAAGGGAACTGAAAATACTGGAAAAACTGGGATCTAGATATACCATACTACTGTTGTAAGTGTTTTCACCCATTCTTTTCAAAGAAAGGAAGCTATACACAGTTTAGGGTTCAACCATATACTTGAATAACATTTAAGTAGGGGTCACACAAACGAGAGATCTTTAACCATATTGCATGTGTGAAATAACTGGATGATTTTTCACCTCTCCAACCAGTTTAGTGGAAAATAGCAAGATTGAAGGCAGACTGCTCAATCTTATACCAAGAGGGAGCTCGCTCTGGGGGAAGTGACCAATGAGCCAGGTGTCCAAGACTAAAAGCATAGTAATAATACAATACATTAGGCAGGCCTAAACCACCTTTCTCTACAGGCCTCTGTAACTTATTAGAATGTAACCGAGGTCGCTTTCCAACCGTTCCAAATAAAATTCTTACACATTCTTTCAAACTGTTTAAAATAGGAAAGTGGTATTTGTATTGGGAGAGACTGTAGTAGATAATTCAGTTTGGGTGTACAACTCATTTTAATTAGATTGACTTTTCCAGCCATTGATATGTGGAGTGGAGCCCACCTATCCATATCACAGGAAATTTTTGTTATAAAGGGGTCAAAGTTAACTCTTGATAAATCCTTCAAATCCAGGGGGAAATAAAATGCCTGAATATCTAATACCTTAGGCCATTGAAATGTGCCAGTATGAAAATCTGCTGCTGGGCAAAATGCAGTTAGTGCAAGAGCTTCTGATTTAGACCAGTTCATAACCTGAGAACTTAGAGAAAGAGGCAGGGTATAGATCTGCCAGGATCAGAATAACGGAAAGTACCTTAAGTACCTAATTACAAGTTAAAAAATAAATACATTTGTATTGTATGGAGTCAATGTTTAAGTTTCAGCTAAATATAGCATCGTAACATACAAGCAAACAGTCAGTAATACAGAAGCACAAAGAAACACATTACAAGCAATAATAAACGAAAAGTGCCTTCAGCTTTTTTCTCTTTTTTTTCTTCCCCCTCAGCATTATTACTCTTTGATTGTTGGATCTAATAGAACTAGGCATCATTCACACTAATGCACAGATCGATTTTAACATATCAGATATTTTGTCCCATCTGTTTACAACACCTTAGGACATAACTGTGTTTACATCATAAAAATCTTGAGTTAAAAAGTTTTATTTTTTGTATAAATATTTAGTGAATATATATTTTTTTGCATTTTATTTATTTATTGCATTACATATGGTTAACTAATATTACTCAGTACTTAAATATATTATTATACTGTAACAAGGACGCCTACAAATAAAATATAACTGCATAATTTGTATTGTAACCTTATTTTGGAAGAATGTGGATAGAGACGGACATCAACGTTCCCTTTCATTTTTGTTCTTGCTTTCTCTATTAGGTGGACATTTTGGTTGCCTGAGCAACAATATTCTTTATACCAGACCTGTACAGGTTACATCATGTAGTAACTTCAAAGTGCCATTTCTGTTTGATTTTAACACTTAAAATAAGGCAAAGGCTGTTTGCACCTCAGTGGCGTAGCCTACATTATACAGCCTGATTATCACAAGGACATATAGGCCTAATAAAGGCCTATTAGGCACTTTCTTTCCACATTTTGGGTATTTTCTTTATTTTTAAAATAAATGCTTCTGTAATATATGATAAAAAGAAAAGAATAGGATTGGAAAAAGGCAGATTCAAACTCATGTCGGTCACAATTCAAAACTATATCTGCTTTTCTTTCCCCACTGCTCCTGTTACCAGATACATTTCTTTTGTAATTATGTCCGGCTCAACCAGACAATAGCAGAATTAGTATTAGTAAACAGCCTAAGCTAACAAGGCAGGCTATTTGCACTTAATGTAAATGGAAACTCTGTTAAAATGACTTATGCCATCCATACAGCATACGACTTTCAAAGTTATTGGATGGCTGTTCTTTTCACACTACACAACTGTATAGCAACATTAGAAGGTATTCATGAAAGTAAATCTAATTCTGATCATGAGGCTCTCTTCTCTGACATTTCCCAGTTTCACGTTCCAGTACATGCCCAGTTCAAACCGAGCTCCACAAACTAAACCAGAGCTTCATGTATGTACTACTGCATATGTGCTTCCTCCATTCTGTTTCTGTGGATGTGACATTGGCTCCTGCATTGGACTGCTGAAGGTAGCAAACCTGGTTTTGGAGAGATGCTGAGGTTCCTGTGCATTCCTCAGAGGGAATGTGGTTTTGAGCTGTGACTCACTGTAACCCACAGCGCAGCAAACTCACTACTCATTCTTCTGGTTTGACTCATAATAGAATATAAGAGAATCCGTTGCTCATTCTAACTAAAATATAAAAGCCTGTGACGGGTTTGTTCGTTTTCCAGGGAACTGTTGTTGAAGCTCTGTAATTATATGGGAAGAGTTCCATGGTTAAGGGTGAGACTCCATATAGCATACTTCCTATAATATTCCCTCTTCCCATGAACATTTGTCTCTAGCTGTGTGTGTTCCATAATACACTTTTCAGTTGTTCCCAATGTAAAATTCACTCTGACTAGGCACAGAATTTAACAATTCTGGTTCATATTCTGGATTCACTTACCATTAATGAGACCATACTCTGTTCTGAATGTGTAACTTTAACTAGATCATATGAACAACCCATCAGTTATGAGTCAGTTGTTGTGTTCTAAATGATATGCTACTCACTGTGCACCTCTACTATACACTATGAATGTAAATCTACTGTAACTACACTATACTAAACACTATGGACCTA